GGCTAATCTGCAGGATCAAATAACCTACTTATTACTGAATATGCTAATCTATTTTCCATATTCTGTACATCCATTCCAATTTTAAGAAACAGTGCTTAAGGAATCTGGATTAATATGTGATCATAAAGCCTGCATGGAAAACCAAGAAAAGCAATGCCATTAAATACTCTTTCATAGAAAAAAAGAAAAAAAAAAAGAATTAGAGCAGGCTGGGAAACTGGAAATGCCCAGCCCGGTGATGGAGGTGGGGAGGTAGGTGGGTGAAAAGTGGGGAGAGAAGGATCTGTGGGGTGAGGGGTCTTCTGATCCTTCATGCCTCTTCAGGCACTCAGGTTGGTACATGGCCTGATTCGGTTCAGACAGACGACAGAGTGGTCAGTTTTGTTGCTCAGCACCTAGCCACCAAAGACTCAACATCCTGTCTAAGATATCCTATTGAAACTCATTACCTTTTGTAAAAGACAAATCATTCTAGTTATGTGAAACACTGAGTCATAGCAGAAACCTGAAGTCATTTCTAACTCTGGTTTTTCATGAGATCAAACTAAGAGTTTTAGTTTCTTATGTTTTGAACAGTTATTAGAAACTGTATATTACAAATAATTAGAATCGTGACTGAGGACTCTTCTGGACTTTATGTAATCTGCTGGCTTCCAGGAAAAGACATGAGGAGATATAGGTGGGCCCCCCTAAATCCACTCAATACATGCCTGGCTATTTACAGAAATTACCTTCTAAGGAGTGTATGGGTTGGAGGCCTAGATAAGGAGCTGAGAGTCTTGAAAGTGTGCTGTGATATTCCAAGGAAGTCGGTCAACCAACAGTTAACTGAGCTTCTTTAAAAAGCCCATATCTTGGGCTTCCCTGGTGGCGCAGTGGTTGAGAGTCCGCCTGCCGATGCAGCGGACAGGGGTTCGTGCCCCGGTCTGGGAAGATCCCACATGCCACGGAGCGGCTGGGCCCGTGAGCCATGGCCGCTGAGCCTGTGCGTCCGGAGCCTGTGCTCCGCAACGGGAGAGGCCACAAAAGTGAGAGGCCCGCGTACTGCAAAAAAAAAAAAAAAAGCCCATATCTTGGGACTTCCCTGGTGGCACAGTGGTTAAGAATCCACCTGCCAATGCAGGGGACACAGGTTCGATCCCTGGTCCGGGAAGATCCCACAAGCCGAGGAGCAGCCAAGCCCATGCGCCACAACTACTGAGCCCACGAACCACAACTACTGAACCTGTGTGCCACAAGTACTGAAGCCCACGCACATAGAGCCTGTGCGCCACAACAAGAGAAGCCGCCACAATGAGAAACCTGCGCACCACAATGAAGAGTAGCCCCTGCTCGCCACAACTGGAGAAAGCCCGTGCGCTGCAACAAAGACCGAACGTAGCCAAAAATAAATAAATAAAATTAAAAAAAAAAAAGAAGCAGCTTACGTCATTGTTAGTGTTTAAAGGAAATACCAGGACATCAAAACACAAAATGATGTCAGAAGGAGATTATTGTCTTAATGGTGAGATCAAATAAATGCAGTAAAGTATTAGAAAAACAATACGAAACAGCTGAGTCGTTTTAAGTTTGTGACAGGGATTATTGATACTACCTATCTCTTCTTCATGTCTTTACTTTAAATATTCTTTTTCCCTATTCTAGGATTACAAAACCATACACCATGCTCTTCTTGTACACACCCTAGAAGAACCATATCATCCTGGTCTTAAAACACCTACAAGAAAGGGCACAATACTTTTCCATTAGTAAGTATCCAGGTAAAATAATGGCAGCCAGCTTTTCAACTACGCACGAATTAGGGTTTAAAGGAATAAAATATCAATTTTTCTTTAAATATATGTCACCCAAAGTGTCACTGCCTTCACTGATACAACAAAAAATTAGGTTGGGTGAGTGAGGGAGTAGGGAGAGGAAAGTGTCAGGGAGGAGTATGTGGCATCTTTTGTCTATTATGGAATTACAGGTCATCTAATGGAAACCTGTGGCATGATTAAGCTATACAAAATTGTCAGGCTCATGTGTATGTCTTTCAAAGAGCTGATAGGATACAGCTCTTTGGGTAGCAAAGGATACAACAGCCTAGATGTCAAGTTAGCCAAAAGGTCTCCAGCGGAACTGGGCCTTGAGCATTGGAATATATGATTAGATCATAGTGATTTTTTCCCTATGACACCTGGAAGTAAAAACAGGTCTTATAAACACTTCTAAAACTAGCAGTTCAAACAACATGCATTTACAGAGAGAGCGTATGAGCTCAGCAGACTGCTACTCATTGCGAAGGGTAATAATAAAATATTAATAATTTCCATTTATTGAGTATTATATGTCAGGCATCATAGTAGGTGTTTTATGTACATTATGCTGTTTTCAAAGCAAAATTATGATATGATAATCCACAGTTTACAGAAGAGAAATCTGTAGATCAGAGAAGATTTTTCAAGAACTGATGGTTTCCAAAGACTGTGCTCTTATCCAATAAGCTACAGAAAGTTGGCACCGGGAAGTAAAGGTCACAGAAAACTGAGCCACAGAAGTTCAGCTCTAAGGTAGGATCTTGGTTACCTTCACAGTGATTAACCAGTCTTCAGTGGTTATTATAGAAATACTAGGCCAAAAAGGCAGCATCCAGATTTTAGTTTGCATCAGAAGAGAAGAGCGCTGGCCAGGGAGTGAGGGTATGCTTTACTTACTTGTGTTAAAAGCTACATGGGAACCAAATAATGTCAAAAACAATGTCCGATAACTGGCAATGAAATTGGAAGCTATTGGTGTGAAAAATTCTGGTTTGGAATTGTATTGACTTAGGTTTACTTGCACAACCAGAACTTTCTAAAACAGAAATAGATGTAATATATATTGTGCTCTAACCTTCTCTGTACATTTCTTCTTCCTACAGACAAAGCAGATACTTCATCCTGCTCTGAAAACAAACAGTAAGTGATAACTCATTTATTTAAATGTGAACATTTTATTTGTCAATCATTTTTATTTTGCCAACGGTAAAATTACATATTTAACCAATGTACCCATGATTTTCAAACTTTATGGATAGTTATTGAGAAAATGATCTTGAATTAATTCTACTCTCACTATGTCAAGTTGAAACAAATGAATTTTTTACATCTCATTCTAAAATGGATAATAGAAATAGTTCCCGTGTTTATGATTTTGAAACAAGTATACTAGAACTATGTTGAATAGAAAACAATGTAAAATATGACAATTTGTATATATTGTATATTCTTCCATGTTAGTGATTTTTACTATGAACATATTGTATACTGTTGTATATTAACACAGGAATTGTTAAAATAAGGATAGAGTGTCTCCATTGAGCTACAGAATGTTTGATTTTCCCAGTTGAAACTATGTTTTCCTTTCAATGTGCATTGACTTGGACATCATAATTGGTTGAAGGTTAATTTCTGCCATTACTTAAGAACTTACCAGGACTGCCCTGGTGGCGCAGTGGTTAAAAATCTGCCTGCCAATGCAAGGGACACGGGTTTGAGCCCTGGTCTGGGAAGATCCCACATGCCGCGGAGCAACCAAGCCTGTGGGCCACAGCTACTGAGCCTGAGCTCTAAAGCCCGCGAGCCACAACTACTGAGTCTGTGTGCTACAACTATGGAAACGCCTAGAGCCCGTGCTCCACAACAAGAGAAGCCACCGCAATGAGAAGTCCGCGCACCGCAACGAAGAGTAGACCCCGCTCGAGGCCACTAGAGAAAGCCCGCACGCAGCAACGAAGACCCAACGCAGCCAAAATAAATATATATAAATAAATAAATAAAGGAACTTACCATTGGCATAGGTTAATTAACTCTTACAGGCCTCAATTCCTTCATCGGTAAAACACCACCATACCTGCGAAGGTAAGAGAGTGAAATTAGACATTGTATTTTGCCCTACACTGTCAATAAATGTTCATTCCTCTCCCTTTGATAATCACACTATTGAGAAGAAAGGCAATACATGGAAGAGGTACCAATTGTCCACTATTTACAAATCAATAAGGCCTGAGATGTACTGCAGATAAATAGTTTAGAATTTTCTTTTCCTCCAAGAATTTGGGGGTAGCAATTGCATAGGAAGACAGTTAATCTAGGCAGTATTCCTTTAATTTACAAAGTGAGTAGTTTTTATATGATGAATGGTGGGGAAGAGAATATGAATGCTTCCTAAACTTCATGTTCTTTTCGATTCATCTAAAGGACCAAGGATTTTTTGACACATTGAGAAAGCACAGTGTGGGCAACCCAATGCTGAGTGTCTTTTACAAAGTTAATGAAGATATTAAGTAACCTTTGTACCCAATCATGGATTCAGCAAATTCGAACAGGCTAGATTTTCAATATATTAGTTCTATTTGTATTTTTTCTATACTTGGAAATTTGAAAATATAGACAAGTGTAAGGAATAAAATAAACATAACTTCTAATGCCTCCACTGGAGAAATAACTACTACTAAAGTATTTGTACATTTCTGTGTTATCACAACCCTGAAATCTTGATTAGAGTTGTGTATAAATAAAAGGACAAGAAGTCTACTTTTCATAGACAAGAGGAAAAAAACTAAGAAATGGTATACACTGAAAATAACCTTTGCCCTAAAATTGAAATGAATAATCAATGCAAGATCATAATTAACTGTGGCGAAATCTGTTTTCTTCCATATTTTCTTTCTGATGGGCTTAGGAGCAATAGAAGTGGGCAGAAAGAAGTGGTATGTCCCTCACCTTTATAGGTATAATTCAAGTGCAACAGTCAAGTTCTTCAGCTTATTTTTTATTGTCCCTATCAGAGACAAGGTTGGTTCTATTATGATTCTACTGGCACCATATGACAGTCCTCTCTTGTTACATTACTTATAAATTTGGGAATCACGGCTCCTTTGAGATAACCAAGATCATTACATTAGTTCTTCCCTCCTAGTTAGAGGTCCATGTACTACATGTTTCAATGTAAACCTTTGTTCTCTTTGACTTACTTCCTAGCAATGGCTTCACTCCCAGTTGTGCTGTTTCTGGCTACTGTGCTGCTACCATCTTTCCCCACCGAAGCAAAGGTAAGGTTAAAGTGGAAAAATCTTTCCAGAGCTATCCAGGCAGCTCTGTGGGATGGCAAAGCACTTTGAGAGCGGAAGTAATGAGAGTGTCTAGTACATCACAGAGTACTCCTTGGTAGCTCAGAGCACTTAACGTAATTATCTAGATGAAAGTTCAAGGATGAGCAGTCCAGTACAGCAGCTATCTGTCACACATGGCTATTAAAGACTTGAAATGTGGCTTTTCCAAAACAAGATGTGCTGTAGGTATAAATTACACACCAGATTTCAAAGATTTAGTCCAAAAAAAGAAAAATATTGCATTATTTTTATATGGAGTACATGATATTTTGGAAAATTAATGCATTAGGTCCTTAGGGCTGTTGTAGGAAATTAACACAAGTTTGGTGGCTTAGCCCAATGGAAATTTATTCTCTCACAGTTCTGGACACCAGAAGTCTGAAATCAAGGTATCAGCAGGGCCATGCTCCCTCTGGAGGATCTAGGAGGGAGTCTGTTCCATGGCCCTCTCCCAGCTTCTGGTGGCTTCCACCAATCCTTGGCTTGTGGCTGCATCACTGAAATCTCTGCCTCCATCTTCACATCACCTTCTCCTCTTGTGTCTCTTATAAAGACACGTGCCACTGGATTTATTTTTCATTCAGTATTGGCCCCTGTCCTTAGGAACGTACAAGTAGGCAGGAAAAATGGACGCACAATGAGATCATGGTGATAAAATGTGGTCAGACCTATGTTCACAGTATTTGCAGAGCTTTGAAGGGGACTCAGTATTGGGGGAGCAGAGAATGACTTATTCCAAGGTGTCAGGGGAAGATCAACCAAGGACCCTGTCTATTCAGACTTACACTTCAAAATCTTACTCATGCTGGGACTTCCCTGGTGGCACAGTGGTTAAGAATCTGCCTGCCAATGCAGGGGACACAGGTTCATCCGGGAAGATCCCACATGCCACAGAGAAACTAAGCCCGCGTGCCACAACTACTGAAGCCCGCACGCCTAGAGCCCGAGCTCCGCAACAAGAGAATCCACAACAATGAGAAGCCTGCACAGTGCAAAGGAGACCCAACACAGCCAAAAATTTTAAAAAAATAGATTTTAAAAAAAAATCTTGCTCATGTAACATCAGCCTTTTGTGTAAATTTAGGCTATCAAATTGCTAGACCTTGTGGGAGCAATTCACACACCCTACTCCACCTCCAGGTTTAGGATCCATCCCCCCCAACACACACACACACACACACACACACACACACACACAAAGATACACCAAAAATATCAGCACCTGATTTAATACCTTATCAATTATATTTCTGTCTCTAAAAGGAACAAAGTCAGCAATAGTCCATTCACTGGATGGCTTTACTCCCTCCAAATGGCCTTGGAGATTTTTTTAATGGGGTCTTTTGAGCGACCCTATAAAATCTACCTATAACAGGTAGAATCACCCACAGCCAACATCGTCCTCAATGGTGAAAAACTGAAACCATTTCCACTAAGATCAGGAACAAGACAGGTTGCCCACTCTCATCACAATTATTCAACATAGTTTTGGAAGTTTTAGCCACAGCAATCAGAGAAAAAAAGAAACAAAAGGAATCCGAATTGGAAAAGAGGTAGAACTGTTACTGTTTGCTGATGACGTGATACCATGCATAGAGAATCCTAAAGATGCTACCAGAAAACTACTAGAGCTAATCAATGAATTTGGTAAAGTAACAGGATACAAAATTAATGTACAGAAATCTCCTGCATTCCTATACACTAATGATGAAAAATCTGAAAGAGAAATTAAGGAAACACTCCCATTTGCCATTGCAACAAAAAGAATAAAATATCTAGGAATAAACCTATCTAAGGAGACAAAAGACCTGTATGCAGAAAACTATAAGACACTGATGAAAGAAATGAGAGATGGTACAAACAGATGGAGAGATACACCATGTTCTTGGATTGGAAGAATCAACATTGTGAAAATGACTCTACTACCCAAAGCAATCTACAGATTCAGTGCAATCCCTATCAAACTACCAATGGCATTTTTCACAGAACTAGAACAAAAACTGCACAGTTTGTATGGAAACACAAAAGACCCCAAATAGCCAAAGCAATCTTGAGAAAGAAAAACAGAGCTGGAGGAATCAAGCTCCCTGACTTCAGACTATACTACAAAGCTACAGGAATCAAGACAGTATGGTACTGGCACAAAAACAGAAATATAGATCAATGGAACAGGACAGAAAGCCCAGAGATAAACCCACGCACCCATGGTCAACTAATCTATGACAAAGGAGGCAAGAATATACAATGCAGAAAAGATAGCCTCTTCAATAAGTGGTGCTGGGAAAACTGGACAGTTACATGTAAAAGAAAGAAATTAGAGCACTCCCTAACACCATACACAAAAATAAACTCAAAATGGATTAAAGACCTAAGAGTAACACCAGACACTATAAAACTCTTAGAGGAAAACATAATAAGAACACTCTTTGACATAAATCACAGCAAGATCCTTTTTGACCCACCTCCTACAGAAATGGAAATGTAAACAAAAATAAACAAATGGGACCTAATGAAACTTCAAAGCTTTTGCACAGCAAAGGAAACCATAAAAAGATGAAAAGACAACCCTCAGAATGGGAGAAAATATTTGCAAATGAAGCAAATGACAAAGGATTAGTTTCCAAAATTTACAAGCAGCTCATGCAGCTCAATATCAAAAAAACAAAGAGCCCCAATCCAAAAATAGGCAGAAGACCTAAATAGACATTTCTCCAAAGAAGATATACAGATTGCCAACAAACACATGAAAGGATGCTCAACATCACTAATCATTAGAGAAATGCAAATCAAAATTGCAATGAGATATCACCCCACACCAGTCAGAATGGCCATCATCAAAAAATCTATAAACAATAAATGCTGGAGAGGGTGTGAAGAAAAGGGAACCCTCTTGCACTGTTGGTGGGAATGTAAATTGATACAGCCACTATGGAGAACAGTATGGAGGTTCCTTAAAAAACTAAAAATAGAACTACCATATGACCCAGCAATCCCATTACTGGGCATATACCCTGAGAAAACTATAATTCAAAAAGAGACATGTACCACAATGTTCATTGCAGCTCTATTTACAATAGCCAGGACATGGAAGGAACCTAAGTGTCCAAAAAAGATGAATGGATAAAGAAGATGTGGCACATATATACAATGGAATATTACTCACCCATAAAAGAAACGAAATTGAGTTATTTGTAATGAGGTGGATGGACCTAGATTCTGTCATACAGAGTGAAGTCAGAAAGAGAAAAACAAATACCGTATGCTAACACATATATATATGGAATCTAAAAAAAAATGGTTCTGAAGAACCTAGGGGCAGGACAGGAATAAAGACACAGACATAGAGAATGGACTTGAGGACACAGGGAGGGAGAATGGTAAGCTGGGACGAAGTGAGAGAATGGCATGGACTTACATACACTACCAAATGTAAAACAGTTAGCTAGTAAGAAGCAGCTGCATAGCACAGGGAGATCAGCTCTGTGCTTTGTGACCACCTAGAGGGGTGGAATAGGGAGGGTGGGAGGGAGATGCAAGAGGGAGGGGATATGGGGATATATGTATATGTACAGCTGATTCACTTTGTTGTACAGCAGCAACTAACACAACAATGTAAAGCAATTATACTCCAATAAAGATGTTAAAAAAATAAAACAGGTAGAATCATTTTACTAGAATACTGAATGCACTTCAACTGAACCTCAACATTCTTTCTCTAAATACATTCTAAATATATTCTTTCTCTAAAAACAGATACCATGTCAGGTCAAAGTTCCCCTTAAAGTCTAGGATGAGTCTTGAGGTCCGCTCTTACCCCACTGCTGCAGCCTGATTGAATGTGGATGAATCTGCCTTCATGTTCTTATTGTATACCTTTGTACACAATATTATAAAATATAAAACATTATCACTTGTATGTCTAGAAAAATCACACTGAGAGTTCCCTTGAAACTAGAAATTGGCATTTGCGGCCTCAGAGGAGTTTTTAATTTGTCATGCCATGAATTCCATTCCCATTCTCAAAACTTCAAACGACTTTTTTCCTATTTGTCATTGCCTTGGTTCAGTTCATTGACAGTGCTTAATAGTGGCTTGAACTGAACACTTTGTAAAGTAATCTCAGAGCCCCTGAATTATTCACTCTTAAGTGCAATTTTCAAAAATGTTTTAAAAAAAATCCTAATTTTATTTCCCTGTAGGATCCATCCTTTACTGCGCTGTTAACCACTCAAACGCAAGTCCAAAGAGAGATTGTAAATAAACACAATGAACTAAGGAAATCAGTCGCTCCACCTGCCAGCAACATGCTAAAGATGGTAAGAAGCAAGAATATAAATAAAGTGGTGTGAACCAGCAGTAGTAAGAGCAGGCAGCTAACTGGCATCTCTTAAGACTCTTGTGGCTTACAAAGTTCTGTCTCTATTTTTCTACTTCATTTAGCTCTGTCATGGGCAGGGCAGAAATGAATTTTCCTTTATAATGGTTAAATAACTTGTCAAGATTACAGGGCTCTTAAGCTGGGAAGGCAGAATTTAGAAGCCAGATCTTCAGACATCAAATATGAAGGTGTTACATTTTTGGTTCACTATCTTCCCTAGTCGAAAATAAAGAAATCTCCTATCCTTCAGGATCAATGCCATTTAGGGTAAATAACAGCCCATTTCCCAGGGAATAGTCCATAAAAGCTAGACATCTCCCATGTGGACACAGTGGGCTACAAATGGAATTGGCAATAAACTAGGTCAGCTTATTACTACTGAAATATAGTCAGACTATCTCACATGTTAGTATTTAGAGCAGCAACATTATTAAAAATCTTAGGTGTGGCTGCTATGCTATCATAGTCAGATAATGTATTAGGTATTTCTCTCGTTAGACATACCTGTGGACTTGTCTTTGTGTGGAAACTGGCACTGGGACAGATAAAGACACACACACACACATACACACAAACAAAAAGGTACTTTAATACCAATGACAATTAGATAATACATCTACAGAAGTTTTAAAGTAATGCAAATCAGCCTACCAATCAGATTTTAAAGCATATACTTCATTGGAGTTGAATCTTTGTGTATTTTGTTTTTCTTGTGACATTTAGGAATGGAGCAGAGAAGCAACAGCAAATGCTCAGAAGTGGGCAAACAAGTGCACTTTAGAACACAGTAATCCAGATGACCGGAAGACCAGTATGTAAATGAGTCAATGTTTGTTGAATAAATGAGCAAATAAAATATTAGGCAAATAAAACAGGACAGACCATTCTGGAGCATTGTATTCAGAAGACTTTGTGAATAAATGTTGCTTATATGGCTGTACTTTTAAAATTAAAGTATCTGTATAGAGAGAGATACGATAAGTACTATTTCATGCTTGTTGATTATTTACATTATGCAAATTATTTCTTAAGCAGCATCTCATTTGTTCCTCTTGATCAGCTCATGGTGAACAGGTCATGCATAATCATTTTCCCGATTTTAAAAATTAAAAAGGATGTGGAAGGAATGAATTATGCAAGAACACAACTGGTAGGAGTATCATATACTGGAAAGTTAACCAGGCTTCCTGATTTCTCACCCTTTGCCCTTTTTGTGATATTGTGTAGCTGTATGGTGTTTTGAAATCAGATTATTTTGCATTCACAAAATGTGTTAAAATATGTCGAACTGAATTTTACTCTAAAAATAGTTAAGCTTTTTTTAATCAGGATGAATATTTTGGGTGTGTTGATTCATTTTTTAAAGTTTTGATAACAAATTGTCAAGTATTTTGTATAGACTGTGTACCTATAATGCATAGAATGATATATTAGACTCAAAAAAACTTGAAGACGTATCTTACCAAGGATCATAAAAGCCATGAGAGAAAAAAAACTTGTATTCACAAACCTTACATAAAATGTTTCACATTATCAAGCATGATATACACATAGGTAAGCCCAATTTAAAGGTAGTGAATAACTTAACCTGTTATTTCAGTAGAATTGTTCTTGTTTATATTGTCGATGCAAACATTATGATGAAATTACAACAAGAGGCGACTGTGTTCAGTAGAACATGGGAAAATGGTCTTCAAGATCCAAGTCTACTGTTAGTTTCTAAGTTTGTCTTTCCTTCTTAAAGGAGAGATCCAAAAGCATTTTATACTTTCTTTAAGCAGCACGTAAACATTATATTTCAAGTCACCAAAACGTAAATATTAAGAGAGGGCTGAAAAGGGTAACGTTTCTGGACCTCAAGCCACTTCTTTCTTCTTTAAATTAATTGTACTGTGGTAAGAACACCTTTTTTTTTTTTTTTTTAGTTTTTAAAAAATTTTATGCTGCTAAGAACACTTAACATGAAATCTACCCTCTCAAGAAATGTTTAAGTGTACGATACAATATTGTTGATTGTAGGTGCCATGCTGTCCATCAGATATCTAGAAATTATCTTGCTTACCAGAAAGTTTATGCCCATTGATTAGTAACTCCCCATTCCTCCTTCCCCCCAGCCCAGCAACCACCATTCCACTCTTTGATTCTATGAATTTGACTATTTGAGATACTTCATACTGATAGAATCAGGCACTCGTTTTCTGTGACTAGCTTATTTCACTTAGCAAAATATCCTCAAGGTTCATTCATGTTGCTGCATGTTGCAGAATTTCCTTCTTTTCTAAGAATGGATGATATTCCATTGTGTGTATATACCACATTTTGTTTAACCGTTCATCTGCTGATGGACATTTAGGTCATTTCCACATCTTGGCTATCATGAATAGTGCTGCAGTGAACATGAGAATGTAAATATCTCTTCAAGATCTTGACTTCAATTCTTTCGGATCAATTCTCAGAAGTGGAATTGCTGGATCATTTGGTAGCTCTACTTTCAGTTTTTTGAGGAACCTCCCTACTGTTGCCTACAACAGCTACCTATGTTTTATTCTCACCAACAGCGTACAAGAATTCCAATTTCTCTTGCTGTCTTTTGTTTTTTGAGAACAGACATCCTGACAGGTGTAAGGTTATATCTCATTGTGGTTTTGATCTGCCTTTTTCTGATGATCAGTGACACTGAGCACCTTTTCATATACCTGTTGGTCATTTGTACATCTTTTTTGGAGAAACGCTGTTCAAGTCCATTTTACTCAAGAAAGATTCTTAAGTCGTTTCCTCAGGCAGCCCCCAGAAAAGATGGATCTCTGACAGTCCATCCAATTCTTTCCCTCCCCAGGGAGAGGCTAAGAGCTGGAGTATTTTGTTTGTTCACTCTGTGCTGAACCAGGAAGGGAGGCTATGGCAACTGCCAGCCCAAATATCTGTCTCTGTTCTCACTAGCCGCAGGCAGTGAGTTTATGCTAGGTCTTGATAGCATTCCAAAACAGGCAAGTCAGGAGCCAGTCCTTCAGGCAGCCTCTGGAAAATGTGTGGCATCAGATGACCAAACCAGCTTCTTCCCTCCCCAGGGAGAAGCAGGCAGCTGAGGTTTTTGTCGGCTTGCTCTGTGCTGAGCTGGGGAGAAGGGCTATGGCATCTACCAATCCAAACTGCCATCTCAGTTCTCCCCCAGGGAACAAGATTGCGCTCCAGGACTGGCAAGAAACATGCCAGTTCTTTGGGTAGCCCCAGAGAAACTGGACCACTGGACACACTGATCAACTCTGCCTCCCAGGGAAGAAAGGAAAAAAATGAAAGGATTTTTCATTTGCTTGCTCTGTGCTGAGCCAGAGGGAGGAGTTATGGTGTCTAGCAGCCCAAACACCATCTCCACTCACCACCTCCAAGACAGAAGCCAGCCCTCTGGGACATCCCCTTGGAAACATTGGGTTGCTGGACACATGAGCCAACTCTTCCCCTCCCCTGGGAGAAGCTGGGAGTTAGAGGGTCTCTTCCTGATTGTATAGCACGGTGCTGAGGGTAGGGATTCTCGCCAGAGGGTTTTCCAATCTCCCTAGAGGCTTCAGTGAGTCTGGTTTCATATCCCTCAGGGTCAGGAAGCCTTTAGTTTTGTTTTTGGATTTCTGACAAGGGCAATTTGTTCATGAATTGTTGCTGAATCAGTGTGTGTACTGGGGAAAGGAGAGTCCAGGGCTTCCTACCTCACCATTCTGCTGATGTCACCCTCTGCAAGGTCCTTCCTGCCTAACTCTCTGAGGAGACATTATAACTCCTCAGAGAGTTATAATATAACTGGAAGTTATAATATACAGTTATAATATAACTGTAAGTTATAATATAGTTATAATATAACTGTAAGTTATATATAACTCTCCTCAGAGAGTTATAACTGTAAGTTATATAACATTATATAACTATAATGTCACATTGTGACATTATGACTCATGGATTAAGGGAAGAGCTACAAGTTTTGAACACCTTCCTGATGTCAGTTGACTCTTGATTGGGACTCTTGAAGACTGCCCGTAAACCTTTTTTTTTCCAAAGTTTATGCAAATTCATAATCATAAATATTTATTCTGGCTCCTATGTGTGAAAAATCTCTGCTGAGGGTGGGTAAGAGGAGAGAAAAAATAAAATTTGGTTGTTGCCTTTCGTAAGCTAACAGTACAAAGCTGAGAGCACACACATTATACCTGTGAAGAATTTAGCATGAAAAAGAATGCATCTTTGACAATCCACAGGGAGAAGGATTTTGTTTGGTTTGGTTTGGTTTTGATTTTTATTGAAATATAGTTAATTTACAATGTTGTGATAGCTTCAGGTGTACAGCAAGGTGATTCAAATATACATATATATATATATTTTACATTCACTTCCATTATAGGTTATTACAAGATATTGAGTATAGTTCCCTGTGCTATACAGTAGGTCCTTGTTAGAATAAATTCTTCTCAAGCTATTCAGAGTTTGCATATTGTGGCCAGCCCAGTGGGCTAGGTAGATCTGTCTTCTATTCAGCTTTACAGTTGATAAGGAATGGAAGCATCTTTTTCATGTATTAACAGTTAGCAAATACAGGCACTGAGTTTGAAGGGCAACATCCTTGTGTTCATGTAGTTGACTTCTCTTGCCACGGCATGCTTTTTTGTTTTCTTCATGAATGATCTGTTCACACTTAGGTACAAAACGTGGTGAGAATCCCTACATGTCAAGTGACCCTACTGCCTGGTCAGATGCAATCCAAAGCTGGTTTGAAGAACACCACAATTTTGTCTATGGTGCAGGACCAAAGAGCTCCAGTGCAATTGTTGGACATTATACCCAGGTAACCAGAACAAATGAAAAACTTCTGCCACAGATGCTCTAACAGAGAAAGCTTCTCCAAATGATGACCAACACCAATGTTCAATCTGGGGGAAGGGCTTGAGTATAATAGAGTCCTGGCATTTGGCTGGTATTTCATCTAAAACTGTCATTTTTTTTTTTTTTCATGGGCTGCAAAATTCTTGGCAGGGAAGTACACTCTGTACTTTTCCAACATTATAAATGGATACACGAAATTTAATATTTTTAAAGTTTGTGACTTTGTTTCAGTAGTTTAAATATTTCCATAAGGTATACGGCTACAAACTATAAGAGTCACTTTTTTTTCTTTCTTTTTAAATATTTGGCTGCGTTGGGTCTTTGCTGGTGCGCGCAGGCTTTCTCTAGTTGTCGTGAGCGGGGGCTACTCTTCACTGCAGTGTGCGGGCTTCTCATTGCAGTGGATTCTCTTGTTGTGGAGCACGGGCTCTAGGCACGCGGGCTTCAGTAGTTGTAGCATGCGGGCTCAGTAGTCGTGGCACGTGGGCTTAGTTGCCCCGAGGCATGTGGGATCTTCCGGGACCAGGGATGGAACCCATGTCCCCTGCATTGGCAGATGGGTTCTTAACCACTGCACCACCAAGGAAGTGCCAAGAATCACTTTTTTGTTTTACATTTGCTATTATTTGTTTTCCCAGTATTTTTCCCTCTTCCTTAATGTATTCTTACATATTTCCTTATGCATTTGTAGCTTGTTTGGTACTCATCTTTCCGTGTTGGATGTGGAATTGCCTACTGTCCCAATCAGGAGAGCCTAAAATACTACTATGTTTGCCAGTACTGTCCTGCATAAGTATATACTTTAAAGTTTAATACCAATAATTCCATCGGCAATTTAATATTTTAAAATAATCTTACATTTACCCAATCAAAATAAAAAAGCATATTTTAATAAAGAGAAGGGATAAACCTTTGGAAATACTGCTTAAGGTAAGATACATTCAACTTATCAGAGAAGAGACCAAGTTCTCATTTCCAAGAGTAAAATCTGAAACTCTCTTTCCTCAATTATGAAGTCATGTCTTTTCTCTCAATTGCCTTTCCCCAGGGCTCAAGGTTATTCTCTGGGCACGTATAGTATGCCTTTCTCTAGACTTGATGTCATTAGTTCTCACTAATTTCACACCCTAGGTGGGTGGAAGCTTGATGGTAAAGCAAGAGGCAGTAGTGGAGTGGAAAATAAGGGATAGTAAATTGTGATTTCAGCCCTTTCTGCTGAAACGTTCCTATTCTTACTTATCTTGAAAACCATATATGTTATTATCATTAGATATGATTCATTCTTCTGGGTCTCAAAGGTTTTTCAAGAGATCTTTAATATATGTTAGAGTCCAGAAGAAGGAAACATCTTAAGCTTTTGTTTCTCAGAAGTTTTCACCAAAAACTCCATAATGAACAATTCCTTACAGTCTTTATTTGTAACAGGAAACATGCTCTTTCATTAAGCAAAACGTTTTAAGTTCTCCACAACAAATCCTATGGATAAACTAAAGACCTAACCTCAACATATCTGCTAGTCTTAATTTCTTTTAAAATTTGAAGTTCTTTACCACTACAGGCAGGGAGGCCCCAAACCAAGCCTCATATAGGATTTATTTGATACTATAGATGACCCAGGGATATGGGTCTCCAGTTTGAGAAATATGACCTCCAAAGTCATTTTCCTGAAAACAGCTATTAGAGTTTAGTAGAAAGAATAGATAGGTCATTTGGGGAAGGACAACACGGGCCTAGGAAGACCCTGAGCTCACCTCCTCCCATGCACACACTGAATCTACACCTACATATAAAGAAATTGCCCCCGAAGTTGATTTAACAGCTTCTGCAGATAGAAGGACCACATAGAAATTAGTAGGAAAGATGGAGACACTGTATCCATGGGAACCCCACCCCCATTTTAGTGATCTGCAGTAGGAGGGATATAGCTGAGGGGCTTGAGAACAGACTCACCTGCCCTGGGACACAGCAAAAAAAAACCCCAGCAATTTAAAAAGCATTCAGACTATACAGAAGGAAAATCCATCTACTAACCCGAGAGCTTCTTCCAAATGAACAGGGAACTGCTGGAGCCCTCCCCAGAGTCGAAGGCACCAGTGAGCACCATTGTTTGGTCCCCCTGGGACTCCCCCCAGTGCACACCTTCCCCAGCTGCAGCCCTAGCCATCCCACCAAGGCAGCCGTTAAGCACAGTGCTCTCCAGGGACATCCTCTAGCCTGGCCCATTCCAGCTCAAGCTGGTCTGCTAAAGCCACCAGTCACAAGCAGTCACAGGGGATGCTCTTACACAAGGCCACTCCTTCAAGACCAAGAGCGGTAGCTGTTTAGCCTAAATCATAGAAAAAAACCCAAAATTTAGCAACTATACTCCAACAAAAAAATATTTTTAAATAATAATAAAAACAAAATTCAAACAAAATGAGGAGACAGGAATATGTTCCAAATGAAAGAACAGAATATAACCACAGGAAAACACTCTAATGAAATGGAGATAAGTAATTTACCTGATAGAGTTCAAAGAAATGGTTATAGGATGCTCACTGAACTAGGGAGAATAATGGAAGAACACAATAAGAATTTCAGCAAAGACTTAAAAAATAAAAGAACCAATCAGAAATGAAGAATATAGGAACTGAAATAAAAAATACACTCAAGAGAATCAATAGCAGACTATATGATACAGAAGAACAGATAAGCGATCTGGAAGCTAGAATAGTGAAAAATCACCCAATGAGAACAGCAAAAAGAAGAAAGAATTTTTTTTTAAATGAGGAGAGTTTAAGGTACCTCTGGGACAACAGCAAGCTACCAACAGCTAGGGGTCCCAGGAAGATAAGAGAGAGAAAGGAACAGAAAACATTAAAAAAAAATAATGCCTGAAATCTTCCCTAACCTGAAAAAGGAAACAGACATCCAGGTACAGGAAGCTAAGAGAGTCCCGAACAAGATGAACCTAGAGTTATACCAAGACATAATTAAAACGGCAAAAGTTAAAGAGGAAATTTTTAAGGCAACAAGAGAAAAACAACTAATCACACAAAAGAGAAACCCCATAAGACTCTCAGCTGGTTTCCAGGAGAAACTTTATAGGCTGGAAGGGAGTGGTAGGATATATTTAAAGTTCTGAAAAAACAAAACCAAAAAAAGCTTACAACCTGGAATATTCTGTTCAGCAAGGTTATCATTCAGAATTGAAGGATAGATAAAGAGTTTCCCAGACAAGCAAAACTAAAAAAGTTCATCATCACTAAATTGGCCTTACAAGAAATGTTAAAGGGTCTTCTTTAAGCAGAAAAGCAAAGGCCACACCTAGAAACAGAAAACACATATGAAAGAATAAATCTCACTGGTAAAGGCAAATATATAGTAATGGCAGTGGATCAGCCACTTAAAAAGCTAGTATGAAGTTTAAAAGACAAAAGTGCTACTATCAATTGTAACTGCAACAAGTAGTGAAGGACTACACAAGGTAAAAAAATGTAAAATATGACATAAAAATCATAAAACAGATGGGGGTAGTAAAAATTTAGTGCTTTTAGAAAGCCTTCGAACTTAAGTGACTATCAGCTTAAAACAGCTATAGATACAGACTGATATATACGAACCTCATGTTAAGTACAAAATAAAAACCTACAATGGATACACAAAAAACAATGAAAAAGAAGTCCAAAGCTAACACTAAAGGAATCCATCAAACCACAAGAGATGTACAGATGGTAACTGGAATTACTGTGGTGATTTCATAATGTATAAAAATATCAAACCACTATGTTGTACACGTGAAACTAATAGAATATTGTGTGTCAAGTATAACTTAATAAAAAAATTGATAGACCCTCGGAGAATGCATCCAAACTCACTGCCTGGCTGTGAGAGGGGAGGCATCGGGAACCAGGCATCTGGAGTGAGAGCTGAAGTGAATAATGAGGAAAGCGGGAGTGACAGAACCTCCAGAACACTTTTGTGTCTACGTCACAATCTTTCCAAGCCTTTCCAAGGCTACCACATGGACAGCCATGTTCTGTGCAGGAAGACAGATTCAAATACATCACTTTGGGCCCGTGGCTCCCTTGACACTACTGAGATTTGCATTCCCATGTATTTTCCGATGAATTAGATAAATTTAACAGCCAATAGGATAATCATCATCGATGAGTTACAAGTTAGTCACTGTAATTGACTACACCCAGGCTATTGGCGTTTATCAAAACTTTTTAATCTCACGTTCCTTTTTCGGTAAACATAAAAATCTCTCACGCACTACCTCTGGAAACTCATAAACCTTCCCCAGCTCTCCCTGACCCACAAATACACGCACCACAAACTACTTAAATAGCACAATGCCATCTCGAAATTAAAATATATATATATTGGAGCTTTACTGTCCCTAGTTCATATTAGAGGAATTAGGGTATTTATCCTCTTTCAAATATAAAATTATATTGCAACATTGAGTATTCTTTTTCATACTGCAACCTCCTGCCCCCAGGATCTTTCCCCGTCTCTCAAAGTGATATATTTATCCCTAGCCAGCTCTCTGCGGGGCACGGCCTTACCAATCTGACCAAGTCTACCGGGAGATGAAAAGTGTATTGCTGCAAAGAAGTTATCTGGATGCTTTAGACTAGTTATGCCAGTGTAGCTGCCCAGCCTGAAGAAGTAGAGTCAAGGAGATGGGTCGATGTGTGTGAAGTAATTTCTTAATTTGGATGTTATGTAAATTACATGTTGGGAATTGTAATTTTTCAGTTTTGTTTTGTTGTTGTTTGTTTTTTTTTTTTGGCCTGGTGGTGCAGCTTGTGGGATCTTAGTTCCCCGACCTAAGGGGTTGAACCTGGGACCACAGCAGTGAAAGCCCAGAATCCTAGCCATTGGACCGCCAGGGAATTCCCCTCAGTTTTGTTAACAGAACTAAAAACGTTACATATATACTTACATATATTTAGTGATTGATGTTGCCCTTGGCAACTAAACAGTAAAGTGAAAAATATTTGACAGTGTGTATTTTACATTACAGTGGTAATAATGTGAGTAAAAAGAGTACCCCTTACCAACAAGGAACACCTTGTGCCAGTTGCCCTGATAACTGTGACAGTGGACTATGCAGTAAGTTTGAAGTGATTAACTTGCTATTATAATCAAGAATTGATGTTTAATTTTCTTTTTATGGATAAAGAAATCTCCCAAAGTAACCAATTTAAATAACATCTTTATGCCAAGACAAAAAGATTACCCAACAGAGTGTGTTTAAGTAAACATTTTACACATTTCAATAACCTACATATTCTCTGTAATGAAAAGAATACAGGCATACCTCAGAGACGTTGTTACAGATCACTGAAAGAAAGAAAATATGGCTATTAAGCGAGTCACACAAATTTTTGGTTTCCCAGCGCACATAAAAGCTATGTTTACACTATACTGTAGTCTATGAAGTGTGCAATAGTATTATGTCTAAAAAAAAACAATGTACATTAAATTAAAAATAATGCTTTTGGAAAAATTGCACCAATAGGCTTGCTCAATGTAGGGTTGCCACAAACCTTCAATTGTAAAAAACACAATATCTGCAAAGTACCATAAAGTGAAATGCAATACAATGAGGTATGCCTATATTACCATATGTAAGATAATGAAACATCTAGCATCCATTTGTTTCTGTGACCTCGCAGAGCTCATTAATAACTATACATTCGGGGCTTACCTGGTGGCGCAGTGGTTGGGAGTCTGCCTGCCGATGCAGGGGACACGGGTTCGTGCCCCGGTCCGGGAAGATCCCACATGCCGAGGAGCATGTGAGCCATGGCCACTGAGCCTGAGCGTCCGGAGCCTGCGTTCCACAGCGGGAGAGGCCACGACAGTGAGAGGCCCACATACTGAAAAAAAAAAAAACAAAACTATACATTCATGCTTCTGATAATTTCATCAACGTTAACGTCATTACACCAAAGGTAGTATTTTGAAAGCATAAAAATGTATAAATCTAAGGATGTGAGACCACATTGTGTCTCAGTCTATACAGGCAAACTGAATGTTTCTTTTGTGCAAATGAGTTCCTCATGCTGATTACTGCATGGAAGCATGGTGATTAACATAATAAATGATCACTTGCCCTATAATTTACTCATGGTTTTGTGCACACTTTTAATGACAAAGTCCAACCTGTATATGATATGGGTTCACAGAATCCATAAAGATATTGTTGCAAAAGGAGGGAATAAAATGTCATATGTGTCATTTCTAAAGTTGTCATGATCTGAAGTAAAAATAGCTATTGGTTTTTTATAGTTGGGATATTTTTATTAAAATTATTATGGGGCTTCCCTGGTGGCGCCGTGGTTGAGAATCCGCCTGCCGATGCGGGGGTCACGGGTTTGTGCCCCCGTCTGGGAGGATCTCACATGCCGCGGAGCGGCTGGGCCCGTAAGCCATGGCCGCTGAGCCTGCATGTCCGGAGCCTATGCTCCGCAACGGGAGAGGCCACAACACTGAGAGGCTCGCGTACCACAAAAAAAAAATTATTATGAACAATAGAGTTGACTCATTCCCTGAGACTTTTACCTTTCAAATGCATTCACCTTTAGTCAGCATTCTTTTTTACTGAATTATAGAGCTATAATTCAGAATATTGATGATATCAAAACTATAAATTAACTAAAGGAAAAAAATCAGCTAAAAAAACATGGAATAGGCTTCCGGGAAGATGGCGGAAAAGTAACACGTGGAGATCACCTTCCTCCCCACGGATACACCAGAAATACATCTACATGTGGAACAACTCCCACAGAACACCTGCTGAACGCTGGCAGAAGACCTCAGGCTTCCCAGAAGGCAAGAAACCCCCCACGTACCTGGGTAGGGCAAAAGAAAAGAGAATAAACAGAGACAGAAGGATAGGGACGGGACCTGCACCAGTGGGAGGGAGCTGTGAAGGAGAAAAAGTTTCCACACACTAGGAAGCCCCTTCGCGGGCGGAGACTGCGGGTGGTGCAGGGGGAAAGCTTCGGAGCCGCGGAGGAGAGCACAGCAACAGGGGTGCGGAGAGAAAAGCGGAGAGATTCCCGCACAGAGGATCAGGGCCGACCGGCACTCACCAGCCCAAGAGGCTTGTCTGCTCCCCCGCAGGGGCGGGCGAGGCTTGGAGTTGAGGCTCAGGCTTCAGTCGGAGCACCGGGAGAGGACTGGGGCTGGCGGCGTGAACACAGCCTGCAGGGGGTTAATGCACCACGGCTAGCCGGGAGGGAGTCCGGGAAAAACTCTGGACCTGCCGAAGAGGCAAGAGACTTTTTCTTTCCTCTTTGTTTCCTGGTCCGCGAGGAGAGGTGATTAAGAGCGCTGCTTAAAGGAGCTCCAGAGATGGGCGCGAGCCGCGCTTTTAGGCGCAACCCAGAGACGGGCATGAGACGCTAAGGCTGCCGCTGCCGCCACCAAGAAGCCTGTGTGTGAGCACAGGTTACTACCCACACTCCCCTTCTGGGGAGCCTGTGCAGCCCGCCACTGCCAGGACCCCGGGATCCAGGGACAACTTCCGCGGGAGAACGCCCGGAGCGCCTCAGGCTCGTGCAACGTCACGCCGGGCTCTGCCGCCGCAGGCCCGCCCCGCACGCAGTGCCCCTCCCTCCCCCCCGCCCCCCTCCCACCCCGGCCTGAGCCACGACCTACACGCAGAGGCGGGGGCCAAATCCAAAGCTGAGGCCCTGGGAGCTGTGAGAACAAAGAAAAGGAAGGGAAATCTCTCCCAGCTGCCGCAGAAGCAGCAGATTAAAGCTCCACAATCAACTTGAGGTACCTGCATCTGTGGAATACATGAATAGAAAACGAATCATCCCAAATTGAGGAGGTGGACTTTGAGAGCAAGATTTATGATTTTTTCCCCTTTTCCTCTTTTTGTGAGTGTGTATGTGTATGCTTCTGTGTGAGATTATGTCTGTATAGCTTTGCTTCCACCATTTGTCCTAGGGTTCTATCCGTCCGTTGTTTTTTTTCTTAATAATTATTTTTTTATTTTAATAACTTTATTATACTTTATCTTACTTTATTTTATTTTACTTTATCTTCTTTCTTTTTTCCCATCCTTCCCTCCTTCCTTCCTTCCTCCCTCCCTCCCTCCTTTCTTTCTTTCTTTCTTTCTACTTCTACTAATTCTTTCTTTCTCCTTTTCTCCCTTTTATTCTGAGCCGTGTGGATGAAAGGTTCTTGGTGCTGCAGTCAGGAGTCAGTGCTGTGCCTCTGAGGTGGGAGAGCCAACTTCAGGGCAGTGGTCCACAAGAGACCTCCCAGCTCCACATAATATCAAATGGTGAAAATCTCCCAGAGATCTCCATCTCAACACCAGCACCCAGCTTCACTCAATGACCAGCAAGCTACAGTGCTGAACATCCTATGCCAAACAACTAGCAAGACAGGAACACAACCCCACCCATTACCAGAGAGGCTGCCTAAAATCATAATAAGTCCACAGACACCCCAAAACACACCACCAGACGTGCACCTGCCCACCAGAAACACAAATTCCAGCCTCATCCACCAGAACACAGGCACTAGTCCCCTCCACCAGGAAGCCTACACCATCGACTGAACCAACCTTAGCCACTGGGGACAGACACCAAAAACAACGGGAAATACGAACCTGCAGCCTGCAAAAAGGAGACCCCAAACACAGTAAGATAAGCAAAATGAGAAGACAAAAACACACAGCAGATGAAGGAGCAAGATAAAAACCCACCAGACCTAACAAATGAAGAGGAAATGGGCAGTCTACCTGAAAAAGAATTCAGAATAATGATAGTAAAGATGATCCAAAATCTTGGAAATAGAATGGACAAAATGCAACAAACATTTAACAAGGACCTAGAAGAACTAAAGATGAAACAAACAATGATGAACAACACAATAAATGAAATTAAAAATACTCTAGATAGGATCAATAGCAGAATAACTGAGGCAGAAAAACGGATAAGTGACCTGTAAGATAAAATAGTGAAAATAACTACTGCAGAGCAGAATAAAGAAAAAAGAATGAAAAGAACTGAGGACAGTCTCAAAGACCTCTGGGACAATATTAAACACACCAACATTTGAATTATAGGGGTTCCAGAAGAAGAAGAGAAAAAGGGACTGAGAAAATATTTGAAGAGATTATAGTTGAAAACTTCCCTAATATGGGAAAGGAAATAGTTAATCAAGTCCAGGAAGCACAGAGAGTCCCATACAGGATAAATCCAAGGAGAAATATGCCAAGACACATATTAATCAAACTGTCAAAAATTAAATACAAAGAAAGCATATTAAAAGCAGCAAGGGAAAAACAACAAATAACACACAAGGGAATCCCCATAAGGTTAACAGCTGATCTTTCAGCAGAAATTCTGCAAGCCAGAAGGGACTGGCAGGACATATTTAAAGTGATGAAGGAGAAAAACCTGCAACCAAGATTACTCTACCCAGCAAGGATTTCATTCAGATTTGATGGAGAAATTAAAACGTTTACAGACAAGCAAAAGCTGAGAGAGTTCAGCACCACCAAACCAGCTTTACAACAACTGTTAAAGGAACTTCTCTAGGCAAGAAACACAAGAGAAGGAAAAAATCTCCAATAACGAACCCAAAACAATTAAGAAAATGGGAATAGGAACATACATATCAATAATTACCTTAAATGTAAATGGACTAAATGCTCCCACCAAAAGACACAGATTGGCTGAATCAATACAAAAACAAGACCCATATATTTGTTGTCTACAAGAGACCCACTTCAGACCTAGAGACACATACAGACTGAAAGTAAGGGGATGGAAAAAGATATTTCATGCAAATGGAAACCAAAAGAAAGCTGGAGTAGCAATTTTCATATCAGACAAAACAGACTTTAAAATAAAGACTGTTAGAAGAGATAAGAAGGACAGTACCTAATGATCAAGGGATCGATCCAAGAAGAAGATACAACAATTGTAAATAATTATACACCCAATACAGGAGCACCTCAATACATACGGCAAATACTAACAGCCATAAAAGGGGAAATCGACAGTAACACATTCATAGTAGGGCACTTTAACACCCCACTTTCACCAATGGAAAGATCATCCAAAATGAAAATAAATAAGGAAATACAAGCTTTAAATGATACATTAAACGAGATGGACTTAATTGATATTTATAGGACATTCCATCCAAAAACAACAGAATACACATTTTTCTCAAGTGCTCATGGAACATTCTCCAGGATAGATCATATCTTGGGTCACAAATCAAGCCTTGGTAAATTTAAGAAAATTGAAATTGTATCAAGTATCTTTTACGACCACAACGCTATGAGACTAGATATCAATTACAGGAAAAGGTCTGTAAAAAATACAGACACATGGAGGCTAAACAATACACTACTTAATAACGAAGTGATCACTGAAGAAATCAAAGAGGAAATCAAAAAATACCTAGAAACAAATGACAATGGAGACACGACGACTCAAAATATATGGGATGCAGCAAAAGCAGTTCTAAGGGGGAAGTTTATAGCAACACAATCCTACCTTAAGAAACAGGAAACATCTCAAATAAACAACCTAACCTTGCACATAAAGCAATTAGAGAAAGAAGAACAAAAAAAACCCAAAGTCAGCAGAAGGAAAGAAAACATAAAACTCAGATCAGAAGTAAATGAAAAAGAAATGAAGGAAACAATAGCAAAGATCAATAAAATTAAAAGCTGGTTCTTTGAGAAGATAAACAAAATAGATTAGCCAGACTCATCAAGAAAAAAAGGGAGAAGACTCAAATCAATAGAATTAGAAATGAAAAAGGAGAAGTAACAACTGAAACTGCAGAAATACAAAAGATCATGAGAGATTACTACAAGCAACTCTATGCCAATAAAATGGACAACCTGGAAGAAATGGACAAATTCTTGGAAAAACCGAACCTTCTGATACTGAACCAGGAAGAAATAGAAAATGTGAACAGACCAATCACAAGCACTGAAATTGAAACTGTGATTAAAAATCTTCCAACAAACAAACGCCCAGGACCAGATGGCTTCACAGGTGAATTCTATCAAACATTTAGAGAAGAGCTAACACCTATCCTTCTCAAACTCTTCCAAAGTATAGCAGAGGGAGGAACACTCCCAAACTCATTCTACGAGGCCACCATCACCTTGATACCAAAACCAGACAAGGATGTCACAAAGAAAGAAAACTACAGGCCAATATCACTGATGAACATAGATGCAAAAATCCTCAACAAAATACTAGCAAATAGAATCCAACAGCACATTAAACGGATCATACACCATGATCAAGTGGGATTTATTCCAGGAATGCAAGGATTCTTCAATATACGCAAAACAATTAATGTGATAAACCATATTAACAAATTGAAGGAGAAAAACCATATGATCATCTCAATAGATGCAGGGAAAGCTTTCGACAAAATTCAACACCTATTTACGATAAAAACCCTCCAGAAAGTAGGTATAGAGGGAACTTTCCTCAACATAATAAAGGCCATATAGGACAAACTCACAGCCAACATCGTCCTCAATGGTGAAAAACTGAAAGCATTTCCACTAAGATCAGGAACAAGACAAGGTTGCCCACTCTCACCACTATTATTCAACATAGTTTTGGAAGTTTTAGCCACAGCAATCAGAGAAGAAAAGGAAATAAAAGGAATCCAAATCGGAAAAGAAGAAGTAAAGCTGTCACTGTTTGCAGATGACATGATCCTATACATAGAGAATCCTAAAGATGCTACCAGAAAACTACTAGAGCTAATCAATGAATTTGGTAAAGTAGCAGGATACAACATTAATGCACAGAAATCTCTGGCATTCCTATATGCTAATGATGAAAAATCTGAAAGTGAAATCAAGAAAACACTCCCATTTACCATTGCAACAAAAAGAATAAAATACCTAGGAATAAACCTACCTAAGGAGACAAAAGACCTGTATGCAGAAAATTATAAGACACTGATAAAAGAAATTAAAGATGATACAAATAGATGGAGAGATATACCATGTTCTTGGATTGGAAGAATCAACATTGTGAAAATGACTCTACTACCCAAAGCAATCTACATATTCAAGGCAATCCCTATCAAACTACCACTGGTATTTTTCACAGAACTAGAACAAAAATTTCACAATTTGTATGGAAACACAAAAGATCCTGAATAGCCAAAGCAATCTTGAGAACGAAAAATGGAGCTGGAGGAATCAGGCTCCCTGACTTCAGACTATACTACAAAGCTACAGTAATCAAGACAGTATGGTACTGGCACAGAAACAGAAAGATAGATCAATGGAACAGGATAGAAAGCCCAGAGATAAACCCACGTACATATGGTCACCTTATCTTTGATAAAGGTGGCAGGAATGTACAGTGGAGAAAGAGAGCCTCTTCAATAAGTGGTGCTGGGACAACTGGACAGCTACATGTAAAAGTATGAGATTAGATCACTCCCTAACACCATACACAAAAATAAACAAAATGGATTAAAGACCTAAATGTAAGGCCAGAAACTATCAAACTCTTAGAGGAAAACATAGGCAGAACACTCTATGACATAAATCACAGCAAGATCCTTTCTGACCCACCTCCCAGAGAAATGGAAATAAAAACAAAAATAAACAAATGGGACCTAACGAAACTTCAAAGCTTTTGCACAGCAAAGGAAACCATAAACAAGACGAAAAGACAACCCTCAGAATGGGAGAAAATATTTGCAAATGAAGCAACTAACAAAGGATTAGTTTCCAAAATTACAAGTAGCTCATGCAGCTCAATATCAAAAAAACAAACAACCCAATCCAAAAATGGGCAGAAGACCTAAACAGACATTTTTCCACAGAAGATATATAGACTGCCAACAAACACATGAAGGAATGCTCAACTTCATTAATCATTAGAGAAATGCAAATCAAAAGTACAATGAGATATCATCTCATACCAGTCAGAATAGCCATCATCAAAAAATCTAGAAACAGTAAATGCTGGAGAGGATGTGGAGAAAAGGGAACCCTCTTGCACTGTTGGTGGGAATGTAAATTGATACAGTGACTGTGGAGAACAGTATGGAGGTTCTTTAAGAAACTAAAAATAGAACTACCATATGACCCAGCAATCCCACTACTGGGCATATACCCTGAAAAAAACATAATTCAAAAAGAGTCATGTACCAAAATGTTCATTGCAGCTCTATTTACAATAGCCAGGAGATGGAAACAACCTAAGTGTCCATCATCGGATGTATGGATAAAGAAGATGTGGCACATATATACAATGGAATATTACTCAGCCATAAAAAGAAACGAAATTAAGCTATTTGTAATGAGGTGGATAGAACTAGACTCTGTCATACAGAGTGAAGTAAGTCAGAAAGAGAAAGACAAATACCATATGCTAACACATATATATGGAATTTAAGAAAAAAAAAATGTCATGAAGAACCTAGGGGTAAGACAGGAATAAAGACACAGACCTACTAGAGAATGGACTTGAGGATGTGGGGAGGGTGAAGGGTAAGCTGTTACAAAGCGAGAGAGAGGCATGGACATATATACACTACCAAACGTAAGGTAGATAGCTAGTGGGAAGCAGCCGCATAGCACAGGGAGATCAGCTCAGCGCTTTGTGACCGCCTGGAGGGGTGGGATAGGGAGGGTGGGAGGGAGGAAGATGCAAGAGGGAAGAGAGATGGGAACATATGTATATGTATAACTGATTCACTTTGTTATAAAGCAGAAACTAACACACCATTGTAAAGCAATTATACTTCAATAAAGATGTTAAAAAAAAAGTCAAAATACAAGAGTTCAAAAAGGCAAAAAAAATAAATAAATAAACCATGGAATATTTCTACCTCTGCTGGTGCTATATTAGCTAAGGAGCTTGGAATTTATCCTATTAGCAAAAAGCACTCAATTGAAAGGTTTTCAGCAAAAGAGTGACAAGGTCAGAATCATGTTTGATAAAGAGCTTTCTAGCACTGGTAAGTAGAAACTATTGGATGGAAGTCAGCAAGAAAACTATTGAAAAACATGTAAAAAGAAATTGAATGTCTTGACCTCATTACTGGGAAAATGAATGAAGAACAATGGACAGGGCTGAGAGACAAGAAGTAGAATAGCCAGTGTTTGTTACCAGTGCTGGTTGGTGCTGGTCAGAAGTAGAAAAGAAGGAGTTCAGATTGATTCAGTTCCTGGCCTGAATGACTGAGTAGTCAGGGAACCATTCCCCTGGGATTGTGGGAGGGGAATAGTCACCTTGGATCCATTTTGGGTAAGAGGATGAATTTAGTTTGAGATTTGTTGGGTTTGGGGTCCCTGGAGAACATCCAAAAAAGAAACATTAGAAAGCAAGAAGGCATATTATCATTGTTTTACATCTCTATCTTCCCACTGGAATCACTTTCTCCTGAAAGAGAAAGCATTGGTGTCTGAGGCAGTGTGTCCAATAGGATGAAATGATAAGGATGTTCTCTATCATCATGTATCTTACAAGTAGCCACTAGTCACATGTGGTCATTGAACACTGTGGCTGGTAAGATTAAGGAACTAAATTTTTAATTTCACCTAACTTAAAATAATTTAAGTTTAAATAGTTCTATGTGTGTAGTAGCTCCTCCCATATTAGATTCTGTAGGTATTTTCATTTTACTCTCTTTGCTAAGGGAGAAAAATATGTCAATTCATTTTAGAAACATGTCACCAAGTTCAAAATAAAAAGTGATGGATTAATCAGTGAGCTCAACTAAGGCACCTTGTATGTCCCTCAAGAAGTGAAAGGCCCCTTGTGGTGTAAGTGACACTGACTTGTTTGTCCAATCTTACCCACTCATACACTTTGAATATGTGGATTGTTTTGTCGTTACTGAGAAAAATGATAATGAGGTAACACATCTGTTTTTGTTACAACCAATTCTTGTGAGTATGAAGATCTCCTTAGTAACTGTGATTCCTTGAAGAAAACAGCTGGCTGTGAACATGAATTGCTCAAGGAAAAGTGCAAGACTACTTGCCTATGTGAAGGCAAAATTTACTGAAATGCCCAACTTGCACTGTGCAGGACTAAGTGGAGAAAATCTGCATCATTTAGTTGACACATACCAAGAGGGAAATTGTAGCCATGTTAGTTACAAATTTGATTCCAAACAGTAAGGAACCTTTTTCTCCAGGATATTTACAGAGATCTCTTTCATACAACGATTTACAAAAGTAAGCTAGTCTATGACAACAACTTTGGACTGATACAAATTTGTCACCTTACATTTAATTAACTGAATCAAGTCGAGAATTTTGAAAGTAGTACAACCACAGGACTTAGTCACTAGAACTTTGGATTAAAATAAAGAATTACATGTTTTCTGAAACAACATGCCAAAAGAAAAAAAAAAAAAGACTGTAACATTGTCATTCCTACTCCAAGATTTTTTACATGTTTAAAGAATGAATTCAAAGATTGACATCTACCTTTGTCTTATGACAGCCTCTTTAAAAGCAAACAGCTTTTAAAATAAAGAATTTATCTAAGCAAACACATGTATGTGATTCTTGAGTCATATTTTATAATATTAATATATAACCCCAGCTAGACTAGCCCAGATATATGATTAGACAGAGCAAAATTTCTGAAAACATTTGCCTATAAAATTAAATTTTGGGAGTTCCCTGGCAATCCATTGGTTAGGACCCTGCACTGACACTGCAGGGGGTCAGGGTTGATCCCTGGTCAGGGAACTAAGATCCCACAAGCTGTGTGGCACGGCCAAAAAATAAAAAATTTAAAAATTAAATTTTAACAATAACAAAAAGGAATCAGTTGTATTCTCTTTTTGCTTTTTGACATTTTGCTCTCTTCTGCACTGGTTTGATATCCTACCTTTTGTGTAAAAAGAATAGTAAATACAAAAATACACATGTAATTTCACATTTATGCAAAATGTACATGAAACATGGGAAAAGTATACCAGAAACTAATGAGATTGGTTATATAGAGTGGGTGGGTGAGAATGGGTTGGGCAGGATGGAGGGTGTCAAAAGGCTAGGAGAAAATGGGTGGGGCGTGACACTTCTCTATTTCTTTTTATATAGTTTTAGCTTATGAATTTTGTTTCACATACTCTTCAAAATAAAATATAATCAACAAGGGTGGGCAGAAAAATCCAAAATGAAATAGAAACAAGAATAAAATAAACTGTTTTGCACATAGATCAAATAATCACCATAAAGGGTGGGAAAAAAGAATCAATTCAACTAATGTTTGAATGTCATATTTGAACTGTATGTCATCTATATTTATATAAACAAATGTTCAACTCTAGTGAATAAGATTTTGTTTTGTTTGTTTTTAACATAGACACATGGGTTAGTAATTCTGAAACTACTATATATCCTATGAACACACAAATAAATAATTATAAATAATGGAAGCCAGGTTTCTCACTGTTGGAGAAAGGCTTTACACACATGGAAAGAAGGAATACAGGATTAAACCCTGTGTTGTTGCATTGGAATTGGAGGTATTAGTGTGAATTTGTAATTTTTCACATATACATAGAGGTGTTAGAAAAATAGTGAACAGAACAGAAGGAATTCCTGCCCTCATGCATGGATAATTTTTGAAACTGGAGGATAAGAACATAAGGGTTCCCAGAGCCACTAGGGACACAAACCATTCTTTGGGATGATAAAAATTGTTCGTACAATGTAACAACAAGATGTAGTGTTAACCACTTTTAAATGAAACACATAGTGGCTTTGAGTTAAAGAAAGTTCCAGGGACTTCCCTGGTGGTGCAGTGGTTAAGAATCTGCCTGCCTATGCAGGGGACATGGGTAAGCCCGGGCGCTACAACTACCAAGCCTGGGCTCTAAAGCCTATGAACCAGAACTACTGAGCCCACGTGCCACAACTACAGAAGCCCGCGCACCTAGAGCCCGTGCTCCGCAACAAGAGAAGCCACCGCAATGAGAAGCCCACGCACCGCATCGAAGAGCAGGCCCGCTCGCCACAACTAGAGAAAGCCCGTGTGCAGCAATGGAGACCCAATGCAGCCAAAATATAAAATACATAAATAAATTTAAATCGATGTGATGCTAATTAGAAATTAAAAAAAAAAAAAGTTCCAGGAAAAAACGGTTTCACGTTGGCCACATGAAGCATTAATCCTTATCCCGGCAACGTTGGCAGCCAGCAACAAAGACGGTAGTAGCTGATGAGCGGTCACTTCAGTGGCGTCCAGAAGACAACCTCATCTTTGAGATCTGGAGCTATTGGAAACATGTTCACTGAGAGTCCCCAAGCATCAGAATCCTTAGAGTCCCAGATCTGTGAAAGAAGGTGGGGTAGAAGAGTAGAAAAAGAGCAGATGCTATGGGGGAGGTAACAGGATCTGTTAGCACACATGAGAAAATCCCTGGGGGCACCCAGTAGCAGTTGGGTGAAAAGTGTAGGGTTTATGGCTCTTTCAATAGCAGGCAGAAGGGAACACCCTCTTCCCTGTCACATACATGCACACACATACATGAAAACAATTGATGGAAACTGTCTTAAAACCAAACCCCCTAGTACTGGGAAATACGATTATAAAATGTACTCTGGATCTATATATAGAATATTTAAATGTCATCAGGTGCTGATTTCGCTATTTCAAATTGAGATACTGTTTCTCTTTTGTAAGTGAAATAACACATGTAAGATATTTAGGAGTAAGAGAGACTAATGGTGCTCAGTAAATTCTAATTTACTTCTCTGTTTCACCTTAGTGCTACCAAAGTTAATTAGAAAACATTCTACATTCCAGGTGATATGCTGATTCTTTTACATTCATTTTTTGCACTTTATCCTCACAATAGTCTTTTGTCTGCATTTTGCAGGTGAGTGAACAGGGACAGGAGGGTTAAGTATTTTGTCCTGATATGGACTGCTACCCAACATCAGAGCACAGACTCAACCCTCACGCTTTTAGGGAATACACAATGCTGTTTCCTGATCTAGACTGACATTAATTGACAGTTTGGATTAAAAATGCATTCAGACAGAGGATTTAATGGGAAATGAAATAAAGTTTTATACAAAGTTCTTAGGTTCTTTGTTCTATATTTATGGAGATGTGTTTATTTTTGACAATGTGACATTTAAGACTTGTATTAACAGTTCAATGGTAGTCAGGCACGGAATACCTCCTTAGAACTTTATAAAATTACATCATGACTCAAGCCTATTGACTTCCATTTCTATTATCTTAAAAATCTGTTCTATAGTTATAAAAAAGGTGACAGGAAATAAATTAAAACTTGAAGAGAACTAATTAGGCTGGGTGCGGGCATGAAGGAGACTTCTGGAATTAGTATAGCTGGTTTCATAGCTATACACCTATGTAAAAATTAAATTGGCTATATACCCTTAAGATTTTGTGCATTTATTGTATATTAGTTATGCTTCAATTTTTTAAAAAAAAGATGCAGGGAGGGAGGAAGGAAGGGAAAAAAAGGAAAAGGCAAAAAAAATAAAAGAAAATAGGTTACTATGATATGACAAGGAGCACAGGTTTGGGAAGAAAATCTGGTTTTTGTTTGGTGCATATCATGAGTGGAGGTATGGAGTGGCAGTTGAATATATGAGTCTGGGATTCAGTCTAGAAAGGAAATAAAAATTTGGAAATCATCTCTGTATAGTTGATACCTACAGTCATGACATTAGATTAGATTCCTAGGAAGTGATTGAAGGAATGTGCTAAATCCCAGAATATGCTGAAGCTTGGAAAATAAGATATAAACGTTCACCAAAAGTGTCAAAACAGGAGAAGCAGCAGAAAGGACTGAAGAGTATAATGTAAATGAATGTCAGAGAGACAGATTACTGTGTAACTCCTATCATTTTTTTCAATCAAAGAAATGAATCTTTAAATTCTCTATGCCTGTGCAATTACCTGAAGGAGGAAAGGAATAATTCCATCTCTAAGGAGACACAAAAGGATCATCCAGATGCTTGGGGAATATTGAAAACCTTTTGAAAATGATCGTGAAATTACTGTCAGTTGATAGCTATCGGTTAACCCTGAAAAATGATGAGGAAGGAGGAGCCGTATAAGGTGACTGACATGACAAGTGGAAGGAACCAGAAAATCTTGAAAGCTTGATATTAACCTGTGGGAAATTCCTATGATTTAAAATATTTTTCTTATCTTCTTATATTTAAAATATTTGACTTATCAACCCAATCAGGTTATACAAGCTCCTTGGAGTTATGGACGACTTTTCTCTTATGTCCCCTAAACACTCAGCACCCTGTAGAACAATATTTGATGTTCAGGGGATGTTTGTCGTGTTAAGTTGTTTCTAAACTCCTTTTCTATTTTTTTTTTTTTTGCGGTACGCGGGCCTCTCCCTGTTGTGGCCTCTCCCGTTGCGGAGCACAGGCTCCGGACGCGCAGGCTCAGCAGCCATGGCTCACGGGCCCAGCCTCTCCGCGGCACATGGGATCTTCCCGGACCGGGGCACGAACCCGTGTCCCCTGCATCGGCAGGTGGACTCTCAACCACTGCTCCACCAGGGAAGCCCTCCTTTTCTATTTCTTATGTTATTATTTTTATTTTTAAATTCCGGATGGATTTTTTGGTATATTCACCCTGCAAATATGAAGAGCCAGAGCTGAAAAGGACCTTCAGAGGTTCTATGGCCTACACTCTTTTTCGAGATGAGAACACTGAAACCCTGAAAGAGGTTACAGAAGTAATTAGTACAAGTTACAGGTCTAACACTGATTCTAAACCCAGGTTCCCTGAGTCCGATTTTAGTAAGTGTCTCACTAAAACTACACTTATTCTTAAATATCATCATTGCTTACCTCTCTACCATAATCATATTTGCCTTCATTACCTATTTCAGTATCAATCCCTCAAAAGATTATCTGCTTTGATTCCTTGACATTTCCTCAAGTACATCTTTATTCATTGTTAAATTTGGTCTATGTTTAACTAGAACTCTGTTCAGTAACCCACACCCAGTACTCTGCTCAACATTAGCTACCAAGTAACAGTTTAATAAATGGATACATGAACAAATAAGTAAATGAATGAAAAAATAACTCATTAATTGCTACAGGAATGTATTTTGTGAGACTGACACGGATTTTTTCAGAAGCCAAAGGGTTCTTTACCAAGAAGGATGTGTTGCCAAAGAATTCCTTAATGTACTTCTTGCTAAAATTGTACATGAAAGAACACTACCTGCTCTCTAATTTAACAAAAAAAAAGAGAAGGGAATAGTGTCGGCTCCACCTTTTTGGTAAACATGGACCATCACTACTGTTTCTGTGGGGAAGAGGAAATAAGAGCCAGCTTCCCTTTGAAATATAGTAAATACAAGGAAGAAACATACATAAAGGAATATTGAAAGTTTAGTTGATTCCCAAGTCCTCTCTCTCTCCTTAAT